CTGCAGTGTCTGGCGTCCGTTGTTCGGACGTAGATTGTGTTTAGACTCTGAACGCAATATTTTTTCCATAAAATATGAGTTGAGATGCAAGGCGATAACTTTAGACAATTTATAAAAAGAAATTAACAAGAAAAACTTGAGTGAATATGATGGATTTTCAAGTGAGAATTTCAGCTCGATGTTTAACATTGTAGATAAAATTATAGATTTTCTCCTGCCCTTTAATGTGATAGATTTCACATGTCATGCATGTTTGATGACTTCTAATTCAGGGTGAGGAACAAGACTGATATTCCCATATGGGATACAAAATTCAATCACAAAAAAGTACATAAATTGAACTTGACATGACTTGCTTTGTAGAACACGATTTTGGCGTGTGAATGTTCTCTAATAACACCAGACAAGTCTTAGATTGAGAGCGAATATTTTTTTTTCGATTTCTTTTGACAACTATCGAATACTCCTAGCAAGTTGTCAAAATTTTCGAGAGAATATCTTTGGTGAATAGATGTCCTTGCAATAGCTTTGTACATAGGACAAATTGGGGTTATTTCTTCTTTGACCGAACAATATTTGATTTTTACAACTCAAGACCTTAAATGACTTGAACTTTAGAGTTTTAGATTGTTGACAATTCAATTTCAAAGCGGTTCGCTCTTGGAGATCTGTTGAAATCGATTCAATGTCTCGCGAAAACTTGATTAACCGAATTCAAAAGAATTTGGGCGTAGATACATGATATATGATATACATATTAGATTAAATATTGGATATATTTCTTATTTTTTTCACAACAAAAAAATACTTAAAATAAAATAATTTGCAAGTTAGTAATATGTATATAAATATAATTTGAATTTTCTTTATTTATTAAACAAAGTGAAAAACTTTTTGTTCTTAATAATAATAAACACATTTAAAATTTAGTACCATCTTACAGTCATAAGCATCAAATTCTTTTGTTGCATAAGTTAAATAAAATTTTAGTCAAGAATTTAATATAGAATTAATTAACATAAGAAAATAAAAATTAAATCAAATAGTGTTTAAATTAAATTTTTTTGTGTTCCATCATTTCTTCCAGCATTCCATCTTATTAGAAAGATTGTAAGATAAATTTAAGAATTTTTTCTTACTCGCAATTTCATAGATGATCGAATTCACTGAACTTGGTAAATTCTATTTAACTTAAACATAATAAGGCACAACGGTCTTGATCCATCCACCATGTCCCTCTCGCAACCCAAGAAATCACACCCAAATTGATCAAAAGATATTTCTTCCGGACTGATCATCGGCTACCACGTCGTCACATAGCTTATTGGCGGGCGAAGTGACTGTCAGTGATCGGCTGTCCGACAGGTGACAGGCGACAGGCAGACGTGCGGAATAACAAATCAATATTAATTTCTTGGTTTAAAAGCACCTTCAGAAATTTCTCAAAAATAACAATTCGTTGTCCATCCTTTTTATAAAATGCCGTATATCCAAGGTCAATCAAATAAACCCTAAAATGCACATAGCCCCTTAATGGCTTCTATCCAATGCATTATTTTAAATCTTAGAAGAGGAACTAGAAAAAAACTGCAGCAAGAAATCCAAAACATGGAAACCTAATAATCACTCATGTCAAAACATAGGCAAACAAGATCATAATAAATATGAAGTAAACACCTTATTATTTCTGTAAATCTGTAGACAAAAATGCACAACCAATACAGCACCTGCGTTTTCCTTCCCATCGCCTTCCACTTTTAACTTCTCCTCCCAAATCCACAAACCAGAAACTCCCACCGCAC